TTCAATGGTTCTGCTCTCGGTGCTATCCTCATTACCTTTGATTTTTCAATGTTGATTTCCATTCCATACTCTCTACCTGTTTCCACTAACTTGTCCATCATGTTCTGTAATTCCTCCTCTTCCTTCACCAATACTACTAAGTCGTCTGCATACTTTACAGTCGTTATCACTCTTCCTCCAATTTTGAAGTCTCCTGTTCCCTCCAGAGCTTCCTTGGCAAGCCATTCCCCATACAAGTTAAAAAGAATTGGTGATAAGCAGCATCCCTGTCTTACACCTGTACCTATCTCAACGCTGTTGGTGTCTCCTGAGTCCAGTCTCACTTTGATATTTAGAACTTGGTTCATCTGGCATTTACTTACAATTGCATAGGTTTGTATTTTTAATTTTAATGTATCATTGCTGTATTATATTGATTTGATTTTGTAACTTAAGCATAAAACAAAAAGTTGGTTTTCAACCCTCCTTTAAGCATTACTAAATGTTTAATAACTAAGGGTGGGTCACTTTAGTTGGTGGTTTATTTGTTAATATGTATCATGCGTGGTACATCAACAGCATGTTTTGTAATGTAGTGATTGGTTTAGTTTTCTAGTTTTAAGGTTATTCTTAATGCTTTACTGTATGTTCCCAGTCATCAGTAATAATGATTATCTTTACATATATATTCCTAAGTGTTAACATGATTACATGATTAGGATTTAATTTTTAGTGATATTTTCAAGAACCATTAACAAAAGTTAAGAATTGTACTGTGTTGTCCTTCCATCATTATAACTCTCTTTTCCAACAAAATGTTATCACAAAACAAAATATTATTCCTGTATATTTCAGGATGGGGGGGGGGGGTGAAAACTCTTAATCTCCTCTAAATATAGTTGTGCCCTTGAATATTCTAGAACAGAAAAGATGCATGAAAAGGGACATCAGAACACCCTAGCAATGAGACCTGTCATGATCTGTTGCACTTCTCTATCAATCATTCCACAAGTAATCCTGCTCCTTTAATAAAATGCAAAAGTTTATTGACTTGGATCTCATGATGATCACTTCAATTCAGCAGGTAAACTCCAGAGTAACAGTATCTGTTGTATACATGACTTAAAAATTGGTTAGTATGGAGCCATTTTGAGAGAGGTGCTTGATTAAGTCAAAGGTTCTAAATACTGCCTGTTTGGTAGCTATTGTTCTCCAGTTTTACTTAGTGAGATCCTTGAAATAATGGACTTTCTAAGTTTCTGTGCAGTTACAGACTTTCAGTATTTTACCTTTTTTCAACTCTTGTGGTCCGTTAAAAGTCATTTGCCAACCCTGTCAGAGATGCCGCAGGTTTAGGTCCTATGTGTGAAGTCTCAGACACCCGAAGGTGCCTGTCTTCTGAGTTATAGAAACCTGTTTTGCCAATAAATTGGCAGTATCATTGCCTCTTTGTCTTGTCTATGCTGCCAGTGTTAGAAGGTATTGCTGGCAGTTTCAGACTAGTTTGGAATTAACCTTGGAGGAATCAAGTGCTTTTAATGCAGCTTGGCTGTCTTAGAGGGAATACATTTTCTTGATATTGTAGTTCATATTCATATCTCCATTATACATATGCCTTTATGGCATAATATATTTCGCCTGGAACACTTTTTTGTACTGCGTGGTGGTGAAACTTACTTTTCTCCTTTTACACCAGTATCTGTTATTGCTTTGTACCCATCCAGTTCTCAAGTTGAAACAAGCCTTCTAATTTACTACAGTCATTATCGTATTAAGTATGTTTCAATACTTATATTTTGAAATGAGTTGTCCAATTTCAATCAACTAAGGATAAGTTGTGCTGAGTTCAGTGTTATGAATCACTTGCATTCATCACTGGTTCAATCTGTTTAGGGTGACTAAGTTCTTGTTCATTTCTTTTAAATGAAAACTTGTGTTATATTGTTTCATATAGAGGCCATAACATTCAGTATGAATTTACCTACCTGGTACTGAACTGTTAAGGTTTGTAAGACATGTATCAGTTCACTGCTTGTTATGAGGGTAAAGATATCCCTCATAAATCTGCTTAGAGCAGAACAAGAATAGAATTTATTTACATTCCATAAATCCATCATAGGCCCAAGCCAAGGATGTAGAACATGTCATAGCACAAATACAATACTTTTTTCTAATACAAATATAAATTACATAGTTATGGCAGTAATTTAAAGTCAACTACAGTGTTATCACAAAAATAATTACATAACAAATAGACTATTGAATAGCTTAAACAGTGAACTCCTTTTGAATCTTTACTGAATTTTATGTGTGGCATATGAAGGTTATATCTTTTACTTGTATTGTGGATATCTGAGTTTGATTGAAATTTTTTTATGGTGTCTACTACAAATGAAAATGACAGCAAGAATTTACTGGCTAGTAGAAGAATATTAAATTTCTTAAACAGTTCTCTACATGAAGCTCTCCCTTTTGTGTCTGTCATTATTCTAATAATTTTTTTAAATGTAAAATATTTTCTCACTGTCTGTTGAGTTTCCCAAGAAAATAATTCCCTATGACATGATTGAATGGAAGTAAGCAAAGTTGACTAATATTAAAGTTTCTCTGTCCTCATAGCAAAACATGATTGTATTAGTTTAAGCATAATGTATTGAATATGTGTTTTTCAATTTAACGTTTTGTCAGTTTGTAGACCAAGAAATTTGGCTGTTTCTACTTCATTTGCTTTATCCTCATACCCTATACCTAGAGTAACAGTTTTTATTGGTAATACAAAATTTTGTGTAATTTGTTTTATTAAAAGTTTATCTGAGTTTATTGGCTTTAATCAATTCATTAAAACTAGCTAAGCCATCATTCATGCAATTTTGGAAACAGTTTCTCGATGTGAAATAATAATATTAGTATCATCTGTAAAATGTATGGGTGTAGACTGAAAGTGAATGATTGGTAATAAATCATTGATATGTGTGAGGAAGTGCAGAGGACCAAGTATTGAACCTTGAGGAACTCCATGCTTTATAATACCCCAATTTGAATAGGTGCTATTATTCAAATCTGGTGATTTTATTACTCCTTGTTGCCTTCTGTCATGAAGGTATTATTTAAACCACTGGCCAGCTATATTTCAAATTCCATAAATATGTAGTTTTGACAGTAATAATTTGTTTAAAGAATTAAATGTTTCAGAAAGATCACAAGATTTTCCACTGCTGTGCATTTCATTATTAAGCACACTTAAGATGTCTCTAAAATTGAAAAGGGCTTTGTCAGTTGAGAGACTTTTCCTTTATCCAAATTGTTCACTTGCAAGGGCATTGAGTTTAAAATGTCACTTACTCTTGTACAAGACTTTCTCAGTATTTTAGAGAAAGCTGTTAGTAATGAAAGTGGTGTGTAGTTAGATATATGTGATTTTTCACCTTTCTTGACACATTCTGACAAACAGTTGAAGGGAAGAATTGTAGGGGGAGATAAAGATTGGAATATGTGACGCAGATTTTTGAGGATGTGGGCTGCAAAAAATATGTGGAAATGAAGAGATTGGTGCAAGATAGGCAAAAATGGAGGGCCACATCAAACCAGTCAAAAGACTGATGACAGACAAACAAATATGGAGGTTTAACTTTTGAAAGTATGAGCCGATGTAGCTGAGTCATTGTAGTGACTGGCTGTGGACTGGATGACCGGGGTTTGATCCCCGATGGGGCAGAGGATTTTTCCTCTAGCATCTGCATCCAGACTGGTTCTGGGACCCAATGAGTAGGAACTATACCTCCTGTCTCCCCTAGCGCCTACATGGCATATAGTGGGACAGCTTTACATTTTACTTCTGATTATGTTAGCTCAAAATCACCTGTGAGAGTTCTGTATATAGCTAGGACAAGTACGTTAGAGAGTTCAGTTGTACAACACAGCATTCTATGTCTTGTTCCTTGAAGTGATGCAGTAGATTCTTTTTGACAAAAATACT